GAGTTATGGCAGTGGAACCGCCGCTTCATGCACAAAAAAAAAACTGCGCTGACACAGTGTGTGTAATCCGGCGCAATTGCACCTGATGTATTATTTTTGCAAAAAGCAGGGGCACCAAAATGCTCGATATTGGGATACACACTCTACAAAAACAAGAACAACACGGAAATGACTATTTTGGTCCGGAAGGATCTTGTTGTTAGCGTTGAAACTGTACCAGGGGTTGACATACCGCACCAAATAGCAACAGTATGGCCTCCTAATTGAGGTCACCCGAAAAACATTGTCGCGAATGTCTATAGTTCGCCTCAAGATCGGATAGCAGACTTCACACTAGATATACGTCATGCTATAAACACCACGAAACGAGGTGACAGAGTCATACTACTTGGGGATTTCAATGTCTGGCATACAGAGATGGGCTACAAATGGAATACAATCAAAGGAATCAACTTGCTTAAGGCAATGCAGGCTCATTATCAAGTCCTCGTCACGCACCAGACTCTCCCACAAGACTGGGAAACACCGTGGCCAGAGACACTGTCCCTGGCGGAAGCTTTTTAAGTGATAAACGAGGAGTAACCTGGACGAACCTAGATGAAACACTGGGAAGTGACCTTTATATCCTCAGCATCTCTATACAAGCGGCAAGCATAAGACAACCGACCAGTACTGCACGTCTCATAGATTCGAACAAAATTAGGGAGTGTCAGACTGATAATGAGGACCTCAACACAATAAAAGACGATGCCACACTCGACCATCACAGAAGACGCGTGCCAATATATATGCGGGAGGCAGCTGATCAAGCAACTAAACCACTTAAAACAACACCATGAAACGCAGCCATTGACAAACATCTCCTCCACCTATGGGAGGCAAGACGCATCCTTTTTAAAAGGCGGAAGAGCCAGCGGCACAACCGAAAGCTCAGAGAGCACATGGCACAAATCACGGAGGCAGCCTATGCGTACTCACAAGAACTGTGTACTTCTAGCTGGAGAGCTTGTGCGACTCTTTTCGGAAAAATCTAAGTATGAAAAGAACTAGGGCAATCCTTCGTAATATGTTTACTCCCGGTACCACACGAAGAGAAAGCACGGTAGCCCTGAAGCGTATGCTCAATGACAACGCAGACACAGATGCGAACCTTCTTCGCGAACTGCATGACATGTACATGGGCGAAAAAAAACAACACGGACAACTATAGCACCCTATATGGGTCGGGCAAACCCTGCCCTTGATGAACCAATATCACTCGCAGAAGTCTACACTGAAAGCGCAACCTTTGAAAAAGAACACTGTGCCTGCACCGAATCGCATCACGTAAGCCATAATCAGAAACTTAGCCAGCGAAACGCTAGAGCACTTAACAAATTTCTTCAATGACACTATTTGAAAGACAGGAGGATTCATGGCACCTGAATGAAGGGAGGCAGAAGTAATTTTATACCAAAATCTGGAGAGCCAAAATCGCTCCAGAACATTCGAACAATATTGTTAACCTCTTGCTTGGGTAAACGTTTCGAAAAGGTCATCCATACACGACTTGGTAGGTACTTAGATGACAAAACCTCCAACCCAATTGCATGTTTGATTTCCATCAGGGAATTTTCTCGCAAGACATCTTTCTTCTTCTTCGCGACGAAGTTCGAAACCCACCACCTGGAAATATGAACAGAATCCTGCTTGTGTTGGACCTGCGCAAAGCTTTCGACCACATATCTCATGACACTATATCAGATGCCCTACAAGAGATAGGCTGTGGGGAGATAACCCTCAACTACGTTCAAAGTTTTCTCTACAGCAGAACGGCGTCCATAGAATTTGGCACTCTAAGAGGTAATACAATTCACATAGCAAATAAAGCACCGCACACGGGGCTCTCTACGTTCCCTTCTATTATTCAATATAGGGATGCGGAAGATAGCTCTAATGCCAGAGAAAGACAACAAACTTGGAGTAGCCATCTACGCCGATGACATCAACCTTTGGGCGACAAAAGGATCTTATGGAGACAGCCAAGACATCCTTCAACGAGCAATTAATACAATTGAGGGGTATGCCAAGAAGGCAGGTATGACATGCGCGCCGGAAAAATCTGAATACTTGCAAATTCGGCCCAAGAACACCCACCGTAGACGATCCCCAACCTTCATTCTGGAGCTAAATGGGAACCAGATAAAGCAAGTATTGGAGCTCAGTGGACTGTGAATGCTGATAGAGGAGACAGGTAGCACAATGTTTACTCTAAAAACACTGAAACGCACAACGAGGATCATAGCCAGACTCGTAAAGCGAGTCACTTGCAGTAATGAGAGCATGACGGAAGAGGACATTAGGGGGTTGATACATGTCTTTATCATTAGCCGCATTACATATGCTCTCCCGTACGAACTCACACACTGATGGGAAGCAGAACAGGCCAACACACTCATACGCATTGCCTACAAAGCTGCATTGGGCCTCCCAGACTGCACTGACACAGAGCGTTTGGAATGCTTGGGCGTATATAATACATATGACGAACACGCCACAGCCGTATTTATCGCGCAGAAAGAGAGAATCAACTCAAAGATGCAAGGCAGGCTATTGCTAAAGAGGCATCACTACCCCTTGTCACCACAGTTCTGCGGTGAGGCCACGCATCGAATACCCACAGAAGACAGGGAACACATATATGTCGCCTCTATCCCGAGAAACATGCACCCCGGTGTTATTGCCGGCCGCAGACGAGCAATGGCGGCGGCACTACAACGGCTAAGAAATGACCCCGACACTTAATATACAGGCTCCAGCCCATACCCAATGAGGCGAAACGCATTTTCTGCAGTCGTTACCAACCGAAGCCAAGTGAACACTTCGCGACAATACGTACAAAAAGCACGGCCGTAGCAGAAGCGAAAACCATAGCACTAGCTATCCGTGCATCAGAGTGCAAGAGACAGTCTGCGCACGTTCTCACAGACTACCAAGAAGCTTGCCGACTATTTCTCAAAGGCGGCCTTCCCAAGAGCGTCCTACGCATGCTAGAATCCAACCTCCAAGAAAACCACGAAATCACATGGTGCTTCGCCTACGAAAAAGTAGGAGGAAACAAACGGGCAGACCGCATGGCTCGAGCACTAACTTTTCGAGCCACGGACATGCCAACCCGTGCGTATTACTTCACACCTACGCTCCCGCGAGATATCATTGAGAGCCAAAGATTGGGCCTGGAGACGATGGCGCCACCCCTCCGTAAACTCACCCGCTGGCAATCCAGGGATCGGAGACGAATACAGACGGACACATATCCCAACAAACACACACTTAGCAAAATCCAGCCATCGCAATTTGCGGACCGCTGTCCCTGGTGCGGTGACACACAGACACTCCAGCACATACTTGGACTTGCCAACAAAGCCCAGCAGAGGGTAACCCACCCCTAATCACACGAAACGAATTCAAAAGGTCGTGGGAGGTGCGACTCACTTGACAGGACCTGGGAAGCCCAAGGGCAACCTGGGACCAGGCTGAGCGAACCGCTCGGGCCAGTGGGGCCCTGGAATAAGGGCTCCTCCCACAGAAACCTTAGCGTGCTGTTTCAATAAGTGTTTATTCCTCCTCCTCCTCCTCCTCAACTGGTTTCGGTCGCCGACGTTACCATTGTCGTCACGTCACGTGTATTTACATTTATGCGATAGAAAAATCAGAATAGTGCAGGAAAAACACAGTTTCTGAAGCTCAGTACCCGGGATTCCAGCCTGAAATTCTTCGCTTTGCAGAACAATGTTTAATTACTCGGCCACGCAGCATACGTCTTTCAGTGTACTAGCAGGGAGATGTTTAAGTTCACCGTTTACCGATGGGGACATGCAAAGCGCTGCGACGCTGCCATATATTTTTGTTTTCGCCAGCGAAATCAAGCGCAGGGTACGCTTTGTGGGTGGTTGCCACCCTATTTGGACGGCAGGTTTGATGCGCACGATTCTCGAACTTATTCAACGTTTGCTTATTGGATGTGGTTACCACTCACGGCATTTTTCTTCTACGTAGGATTTTATACGATTACCTTGGGTAGACTGTGTATGAAACATCAATGTTAAATCATTTTTATTAGGCAGCACAAGCTGTAATATTCGGCACGTGAATTTTTACAGTGAAGTGTGAAGCTGAACCTCTTATATAAAGCAGGAACAAAGACAAGTTATTCATCTTTTCAAAGCCCCCTCAGAAGCCTGAGTACAATCTTCAACATTGCATGACATCGTATGTCTTAACAATCTTCATTTCTGGGTTGAAACTGTATGTGTAGAATTCATAAGAAGGTGTACCAATATAAAATCTAATGGTAGTTTATTTATTATAGTTGATTATTGATGATGATATGTAGGGCTTGACGTCCTAAAACCGCTATATGATTCTGAGAGACGCCGTAGTGGAGGGCTTCAAAAATTTTGACCACCTGGGGTTCTCTAACGTGCGCCCAATTCTGAGCACACGGGTCTACACCTTTTCCGCCTCCATCAAAATGCAGCCGCCGCAGCCACAATTCGAGCCCGTGAACTGCAGGTCAGCAACCGAGTATTTTAACTACTAGGCCACCACGGCGGGGCTTTTATAGTTAATTAGAGAACAGCCTTATGAGATATGCGAAGTTATCTTAACTAAAAGGTAAGCGTTAAGCCGGAGTTGGCACCAATGTTGAAATGTCATTACCTCTCAGAGAACTGAATTTTCCAAAAGTTTGTTCAGGTACTCAATTGAACTACAGAGTACATGCTGCTAGCATGTCTTCGAAGAAGTTAAATTTTAAATTTATGAACAAAAGCAAAATCATTTGAAGAACACGCAAATAGAGGCTTCGTTTGGGGTGTGTTATTAAGTTTTCATTTTACCTTTGGGAGATGAATTACGATGATATCTCGACTTGACGATAAATGATCTTTACGATAATAACCACTACCTGAAGTATTTGAACGTAACATATTTAGGTCATTTCGAGAACTCTTTTTCAGGATTGCGTCTACAAAAGTTGCCCACCACAGGCTCCCAGTCATTGTATATGCCCCACCGTTTGGGAAGCAATGTTTGGAATCAACAATTGTCGATGAGAATATTTCTAAAAAACCTGTATTGTCTGAAAATACACGTTATTGACAGAAAAATTTGTTTATTTATTGAACCTGTCGACACACTATGATTCTGTGTAGATTTGGAAGCACAAACAAGCATCGGCTACTCCTTAGCTCTTTGAAGGTCTAGTATAAAACACAACAAAAATATACAGAAACTATACTACATGAAAATACAAAGCTTCAAACACGAGCATATTCTCGAAATGTAACTGACAATGTACAGGAGCACAAAAAGAAAGTGTAGGAACCCACAAGCGTGCCTGTGTTAAAGGGGCCCTGAGACACCATTTCAAGTAACCCTAGAATAAAATTACTGGACAGGCTTACGGCCTCGCTAATTCAAAGCCGCAAAAAAATTAAGAATCTGTCCCGTGCGAGTGGACTTACAAAGGTTGTTCGCATGCTGCAATTACATTTTCTCTTCTCTCGTCTTGGCAAAAGTGCTGAAATATAAGCTGGAAGGGTTGGCAGGGACAAAAAAAATAAGTCACCCGGGCCTCGTGACCAAGAAAACTTTTTTTTTCAAATGCGCGGCTTTTTTATTGTGATTGCGCGCGCACACGTGTACAAGTCGTGGCCTTCCGCAGCGACTTCTGTAACGACCCAGTGCGCCAAGTCAGCCAATGGCTCATAGATAAAATTTCTACGAGTAATTTTGAGCGTATTCCGTCATTTGTCAAGAGACGAGAAAGTAATTTTTAGTTGATTTTAAAAATTAATTTTGAATTTCAGGGAGCATGCTGCGCCATAATATTTGGCTCGCGTGTTGTTGGGAGCCTCTGCTATTGATGGGCAGTGCTTTCTAACAATAAACAAAAAGTGCTTGACCCCTAAAGACTTAATCTAAAGAGTGACCAACACATGCAAAGCAAACAGGCGATGTTGCTGTTCCATTCGTTGAAAAAAATATCATGTAAACACATCTTCTGTAAACGAACATGTTGACAATATCTATGAAGAGCAAAACACCACAAATGCTTAAGGCAAGTAACCACGAGTGTTAGATTGGTTAATTGAGATGAGAAACTGCATTCCAGTGCATCAGTCAGATTTGGCGAACAACATCTTCGAGGCAGTTACGAGCGACAAACTCAATGCAGCTCGAATAACATCACAAAGTTACCTTACCCATTACAGTCAGGAATTATGATGTCATTTCTCAAGGTGCGTTGAATTCACATGACATGATTCCAACACACTCAGTGCTACAATAAAAAAAAAGAGAAGGATGGAATCGTTTGCTTTAGGTGAGGTTCAGTTTTTAAAGTTAGTTAGCGTGTAACCTAATATGTATTTATCCTGCAATCAGTCAGCTTCTATACTTGCATAAACTGTAAATACTCAGCCCAATTCAAATGCAATCATTTTCTTCGCGTTTGTTTTGCATCAAGAAAACAAGCCTTGATTTTGGCCCTGCAAAAAGGCAAGGTTAAACAGTAGTCGAACATGACAGTGTATCCGACTAAGTGGTTCTCTGCAGAGATAAGTCGCATAATGAAGGTAAATTACCGCTAGTTGTCCACTAAGAAAGCTTGAACGAATGTGTGCACTAAGTTTCAAGCAATTCGAAGGAACACATGGTGCATGAGGTGCCATTGAACTCGGCGTGTACGCATCATGACTGATAGTGGTACATATATTTACCGCAACTTTACACTCAACCAAGGCCTCCCCATATAACACTCAATTTGCTGTACAGACAAATCAAATTTTTGAAGCAAAACCTGATTTGCATACGCCCTAATACCACACTTTCGACTGCTTTAAAGCGCTTATCATCGATGCGTTTTCCGTGCGAAGAAAGTGAAATTACTTATTGTGGGTTTGACTGCTGGGATGTTTCTATACCGTTGACACGTCCCCTGTAACACATCAAGGCACGACAATCACTGCAAATTTAACTTCTAGTGAGCTTCCGCAGAGGCCAATACGTTTAGAAAATCACCGCTAACCAGCGTATCATTGAAAATAGCACCTCCTATGTCAGTACGGTACACTTAGAATGAGTGAAAACACTGAATGTGAGTCGAAAGGGGAAGGAGATAATCCCTCGTTCGTAGCGCAAGCCAAAAGGATGGCGGCTTACGTTATCACTCTTTATGATACTCTTCCGCCACTTTGCGGGTTTGCACAAACCTCATTTGCAATAATTGTGTCCATGTGCTTCAAGTTGTTGATGAATTCTCCCTCGCGCTGTCAATTGCTGGCTTCATTATTAGGTCGATTGGCAGAGCGATCATCACGGATGGGCGTTGGTCCCGGATTTTAACCAAGGAACAGGAAGAGTTTTTGGACACTTAAGAGGCTTTTATTTCTGAGAAATCCTTGTGGCTTCATGCTACAAACAGGTGGTTGTCTCCTTTCCTTTTCTCAACCCTCCCACTACCTTGCGGGTTTCCGGCGAACTCATTCGCAATAGATGTGAATATAGATATTGTGAAAAAGGTAAGGTAAATTTGTCCATAATTTGTCGGCACAAAAGATGACTTAAAAATTTTTTAACCCTTTGTTGCATGCCGGAAACTCATGCGTCAAAACAGTACTTACTTTTGGTTCTCTGTAAGTTTGCATTAAGAAAAAGGCACAAAAATATTTTTGAAGTAGAAGCTTGATTTTAGAAGATCATCATCATCATCATCATCATCATCATCATCATCATCATCAGCAGCAGCAGCCTGACTACGTCCACTGCAGGACAAAGGTCTCTCCCATGTTCCGCCAGTTAACCCGATCCTGTGCTTGCTGCTGCCAATTTATACCCGCAAACTTCTTAATCTCGTCTGCCCACCTAACCTTCTGTCTCCCCACAACCCGCTTCCCTTCTCTAGGAATTCAGTTAGTTACCCTTAATGACCAGCGGTTATTCTGTCTACGCGCTACATGCCCGGCCCATGTCCATTTATTTTTCTTTATTTCAAGTATGATATCCTTAACCCCCTGTGTCCCCTAATCTACTCTGCTCTCTTCTTGTCTCTTAAGGTTACACCTACCATTTTTCTATCCATTGCTCGCTGCGGCGTCCTCAATTTAAGCTGAACCCTCTTTGTAAGTCTCCAGGTTTCTGCTACGTAGCTAAGTACCGGCAAGATACAGCTGTTATATACCTTCCCACTGAGGGATAGTGATAATCTACCGTTCATAATTTGAGAGTGCTTGCCGAGTGTACTCCACCCCATTCTTATTCTTCTAGTTACTTCAATCTCGTGGTTAGGCTCTGCGTTTATTACCTGCCCTAAGTAGACATAGTCTTTTACAACTTCAGGTACACTATTACCTATCTCGAAGCGCTGCTCCTTTCCGAGGTTGTTGTACATTACTTTCGTTTTCTGCAGATTAATTTTAGGACACACCTTTCTGCTCTCCTTGTCTAACTCCATAATCATGAGTTGCAATTCGTTCCCTGAGTTAATTAGCAATGCAATTTCATCGGCGAAGCGCAGGTTACTAAGGTATTCTCCATTACCTCTTATCCCTAACTGTTCCCATTCTAGGCTTCTGAAAACCTCCTGTAAGCACGCGGTAAATAGCATTGGGGAGATTGCGTCCCCCTGCCTTACACCCTTCTTGATTGTGGTTCTGTTGCTTTCTTTATGAAGCACTATGGTAGCAGTTGATCCCCTGTAGATTTCTTCCAGAATGTTTATATATACTTCATCTACGCCCTGATTCCGCAGTGTCTGCATGACGGCTGATATTTTTACTGAATCAAACGCCTTCTCGTAATCTAAGAAGGCTATGTATAGTGGGCGGTTATACTCTGAGCATTGCTCTATTCCCTGATTGATAGTATAAAAGTGGTCAATTGTTGAGTAGCCTGTTCTAAATTCTGCTTGTTCCTTTGGTTGATTGAATTCTAATGTTTTCTTGACTCTGTTAGCAATTACCTTTGTAAATAGCTTGTATACTACAGAGAGCAAGCTGATCGGCCTGTAATTCTTCAAGTCCTTGTCATCTCCTTTCTTGTGTATTAAGATGATGTTAGCGTTCTTCCAAGACTCTGGTACCCTTCTCGTCAGGAGACACCTCGTGAACAGGGTGGCTAGTTTTTCTAACACAATCTGTCCTCCATCTTTCAGCAGATCTGATGTTACCTGATCCTCACCTTACCTGATCAGAAGATACAGAATGTCAATTGAGTGGACAATATGCAGCATAAGATTAAATAGTGAAGGCTGCAAATTTTTTTCATTTACTGAGCTGTCCTTCTCAAATAAATTTTTGCAAAATCTTAGCTGCAGCACTACCAGAAAAGTAGAGAGAATTTTTCGTGAAGTGTAGCTAAGGTGGAAAAAAGTGATGGGGCACTGGGCGTTCAAATAATTTCAAGAATACTTTGACCTCGTTAAGCCACAATATTGATACGCAACAGCCGGCAAAGCCTGTCTGGAAGAAAGAGAAAGACGACGTTGGTGGCTGGTTGTTTATGAACTGTCGCCATCTTGTTCGCCGAGCACAGTGCCTCGTATTTAATTTATTAAATAAGTTACCCGTAACATTATTGGTGGAGGTGGACGACTCCCGTACCTCGATGGAGACGCGCAGCGGTCGCAACACCGGGGACTCTTCGGCTACTTCAACTGCCAGTGCCCCATCCCCACCGGTCTCTCGATCCGAGTCGACAACCTACGTCACCCTGCCACCCCTGCGGGATCCTGGAACTTTCTCCGCTGACGGCACCATCGACGTTGACTCCTGGCTGCACCGGTACGAGCGAGTCAGTGCTACCCACCGCTGGGATCCCACGCTCATGCTCGCCAATGTTGTGTTCTACCTCGACGGCACGCCGCGGACATGGTTCGAAACCAACGAAGCCGAAATCACAAGCTGGGATGTTTTCAAATCGAAGATCCGTGATCTTTTCGGCGATTCATCTGGTCGTCAGCTCGCTGCCAAGAAGACTCTCGCCACTCGCGCCCAGACGTCTACTGAATCGTACGTCTCATACATTCTTGACGTCTTGGCGCTTTGTAGCAAGGTCGACCAGCGCATGTCAGAAGAAGAAAAAGTTAACCATGTCCTCAAAGGGA